TACTATAAATATATATATATATATATATATATATATATATATAACTTTCTCAAAGAAATCGTGGGAAGAAAACTTATCGATCATCGCGTTTCAGTTCGTCCCGATGCTCCCGAACCACCGAAACCTGACAGAATCACGAAAGATTCGGTGACGTTGAGCTGGCGGCCGCCACGCAGCGACGGTGGCGCCAAGATTAGAGGTTATATCATTCAGATGAAGCAGAGAGCCCAGGAGGAATGGGATGACGTTAACGGCGCCTTGATACCGACCAACGTGTACACGGTGCCAAAACTAACCGAGGGAGAAGAATATCTGTTCAGAGTGATCGCCGTCAACGATGTGGGCAACAGCGATCCCAGTCGGCCGAGCAATCCGATCGTTATCGAGGAACAACCCAACAAACCTGTCATGGATCTCGGAGGAGTTCGCGACATTACCGTCCGTGCTGGCGAAGATTTCTCCATTCACGTGCCTTACATTGGTTTCCCCAAACCCACCGCTACCTGGTACGCCAACGACGTTATCAAAGATGAGACCGAACCACGCGTGCATCAACAATTGGGCGACGATTATGCTAGGTACACTTATCGATCACAATTGTTACAAATTGATCTGTCGCAATTACGCAACCAATTCTCTTCTTCGCAGTCTCGTGGTGAAAAATGCGAAACGTTCGGACGGTGGACAGTACCGTCTTCAGTTACGCAATTCCTCGGGCTTCGACACCGCCACTGTGAACGTCAAGGTTCTGGATCGGCCAAATCCGCCCGAGAACCTTCACGCCGACGAATTTGGCGGAGATGCTCTTACGCTATTCTGGAACCCGCCGAAAGACAATGGCGGGGCTGACATCACGAACTACGTCGTCGAGAAACGAGAACCGAAGGGCTCGTGGTCCAAGGTTCGCGCGTTACGATCTTGAAAACTCGTCCTCGTTTCGCGATATCTTTCGCTCATTCTCTTTCTGTTCCTACGACAGGTGAGCAGTTACGTGACGACACCGTTCTTCCGAGTAAGAAATCTAACTGTCGGAAGCATGTACGAATTCCGAGTAATGGCCGAAAATCAATATGGCACCTCGGATCCTGTAACCACGATGGATCCGATCAAGGCCAGGCATCCGTTCGATCCGCCTGGACCACCTGGAACACCGAAGGGCGTTGAAACGACGGAGGACAGCATCACGATTACCTGGACGAAGCCTCGTCACGACGGAGGTTCTCCTATCCTTGGATACGTCATCGAGAAGCGTTTGTTGAGCGAGGATAAATGGATGAAGGCCACTCCATCCCTCGTTCACGAAACTAATTACAGGTAATACTCGTTCGATCGATCGAACACCTTATCGATCCTGTATTGTTATCGATTAATCGTTTCAATTTTTGTAGGGTCACTGGTCTCATAGAGAATCATGACTACGAATTCCGCGTCGCAGCCGAAAACGCAGCCGGACGCGGACCGTGGAGTTCCAACTCGGATGTTATCAGAGCCAGTGCACCACCGTGTAAGTATATTTCATTTCGGTTTGATCGAAATATTCTATGTATGTCATGCCGCGTTGTTGTTACGAATTTTTTTTCCAGTCCCACCGAGAATCACGTCTGATCTCAGTATTCGCGACATGACGGTCATCGCCGGAGAACCATTCACGATTACCGTGCCCTACACGGCGAATCCAAAACCAAGGCCGAGCTGGTCCATCAACGGAGAAGAAGTGCTCACCAGCGATAGAATCAAATTCGACACAACTGACATCGCGTCGCAATTCATCAACAAAAAAGCAAAGAGATCCGATACGGGAACATACACGATCTATCTCACGAACACCGTCGGCACGGATTCCGCTTCGTGCAGAGTTCTCGTCGTCGGTGAGTATTCGTGCGAAACCATTCTTCCATTTCTTTTTAATACCATTATCAAGAAAGATCTAATTTTTTTGTTCCACTATTATGTATATACTCTTCTCGTAGATAAACCGTCTCCCCCACAAGGACCGCTTGACATTTCCGATATTACTCCCGAAACGTGTACATTGTCTTGGAAAGCACCGTTCGACGATGGTGGTTCGCCTGTTACGAATTACATCGTAGAAAAATTAGATCCGGCTGGCGTGAGTACACCTCTCTTCCTTCCTTCCTTACCTCTATTTTTCTTCTAAACGATGGCTAGACTTTATGAAACGATTTCAGTACTGGGTGAAATTGAGCAGTTTCGTGAGAAACACTCATTACGATGTGATCGGTCTCGAGCCGAATCGCCAGTACAACTTCCGAGTTCGCGCGGAGAATCAGTACGGTATATCGGAACCGTTGCAAGCAGATGAGCCGATCACCGCCAAATTCCCGTTCACCGTCCCCGATCCTCCTGGACAGCCACGCGTCATCGACTGGGACACCTCGAACGCCACCCTGGTATGGACTCGGCCGATATCCGACGGTGGATCCCGTGTCCAGGTAAAAGATACACAGAGCATACAGAGCATTCCCAGTTAAATCTCGAAACTAATAAATCGGCCGTTTTCCTTCCCTTCAGGGTTACAAGATCGAGTTCCGCGACCCTGCCGACGACGCTCAATGGCGAGTGGCGAACGATTACTTGGTCAAGGACACGACTTACATTTGTTACAATCTATTGAGCGGACACGAGTACGAGTTTAGAATACGCGCGAAGAACGCGGCCGGTTTCAGCAAACCTAGTCCACCTTCGCCACCGTTCAAGTTGAAGAGCAAGTTCAACGTGCCCTCGCCACCTGGCACGCCACAAGTGGTCAAAGTTGGCAAGAACTACGTCGACCTGAAGTGGGAAGCACCGATCTCCGACGGAGGCAGCCGCATCACCGGGTACGTGATCGAGAAGCGCGAAGTCGGAAGCGCGATCTGGGCCAAGTGCAACGAGTACAACGTGACCGACACCGAGTACACCGTTCTCCATCTGATCGAACGCGGTGATTACGAATTCCGAATCTTCGCGGTGAACGCCGCTGGAAGATCGGAACCGAGCTCGTGCACAACACCGGTCAAGATCTGCGAGGTGGAGGGTGGCGAGAAACCGGAATTCGTCAGAACTCTACCGATCAGTACCAACGTACCTCTCGGCAAAACCTCGGTGCTCGAATGCGAGGCAACCGGGAAACCGTTGCCCACCGCAAGGTTTGTCGAAATTCCTTTTCAAACGATTTTTAATTTTACGATGATCCATCTCTATCTTACGAATTTTAGGTGGTTGAAGAACGGCAGGGAGATCACGATCGGCGGCCGTTTCCGTGCAGAAGCGTTCGATGGAATTTACAGGCTGGTGATATCCGACGTCTCGGACTCGGATACCGGCGATTACAGCTGCCAAATTTCGAATCCGCTCGGTCTGGCCACGACCACGTGTCGATTGAAGATCGGCTCTCCGCCCCGTATCGAGCGTATGCCCGACGTGTTGTATCTGGCCGAGAACGACAACACGAAGATCAAGATTTATTACAGCGGCGATCAACCGATGGACGTTACGTTGAAGAAAGATGGGCGAAAGGTGGTGGAGACGAGCCATATCAAGTATACCGTGTTCGACGAGTACTTGATCATCTTCATCAAAGATATTGAGAAGGACGACGCTGGCGTGTACGACGTTTCTATAACGAACGACAGCGGTAGCGTGAGCGGTTCGTTCAACGTGTACATCACGGGATTACCAGGGCCGCCGAGCGAACCTCTCGAGGTGACCGACATTGACAAACACACCTGCACCGTGTCCTGGCGTCCACCCAAGTTCGACGGTGGTGTACGCGTCACTCACTATGTGGTGGAACGTCGGGACGTCAGCCACACCCATTGGATCATCGTTTCCTCCTTCTGCAAGGATTGTAGTTTCATGGTACAGGGTCTGACCGAGGGACAAGAGTATCTGTTCCGAGTGATGGCGGTGAACGACAACGGTATGGGACCTCCTCTCGAGGGAACCAATCCTATCAAAGCGAAGGCGCCTTTCGATCCTCCTGGTCCTCCTGGTACGCCGAAAGTGACCGAGGTTGGCGGAGATTTCGTGAACCTTTCGTGGGAGAAGCCGGAATCGGACGGTGGATCGAAGATTCAAGGATACTGGATCGACAAACGCGAAGTAGGTAGCCAGGCATGGGTACGCGTCAACGTGATCATCTGCTTGCCCACCCAGATCAACATCACGAATCTGATCGAAGGAAGGCAATACGAGTTCCGCGTGTTCGCCCAGAACGCTGCCGGCCTCGGGCCGGAATCGAAAGCCTCGACCTCGGTCAAGATAGCCGATCCGCAAGCGGCCAAAGCACCGGAAGTGATTCAACCGTTGCACAAGGTGAGCTGCGTGCAGAACCACAACGCTCAATTCCAGTGCAAGATCATCGGTATTCCGAAACCGACGATCACGTGGTTCAAGGGTGCCCGGGAGATCGTGAGCGGATCCCGATACAACATATATTCGGAGGGCGACGTGCACAACTTGATCATTCATGACGTATTCGGGGAGGACGCGGACGAGTACTTCTGCCGCGCCGTGAACAAATGCGGCGTGAAATCGACCAAGGGTGAACTTTTGATCAAGACACCGCCGAAACTGAACGTGCCCCCACGATTCCGCGACACCGCCTTCTTCGACAAAGGGGTCAATGTGGTGATAAAGATCCCGTTCACCGGTTATCCGAAACCGAAGATAACCTGGGTCAGGGAGGGAGAGCTGATCGAATCCGGAGGACATTACACGGTGGAGGTGAAGGAAAGGCACGCGGTGCTCACAATTATAGATGGAAATCGTATCGATTCCGGCCTTACCGCATCACGGCGGAGAACGACTTGGGCCAAGATAGCGCGATCATTAAGATACAGATCAGCGATAGACCCGATCCACCGAGATTCCCTCAAGTGGACAACGTAGGCCACGACTCGTTGGCTCTGACCTGGAAACCGCCCGTTTGGGACGGAGGTAGCAACATCACCAACTACCTGGTCGAGAAGAGAGAACATCCGATGACCAGCTGGATCAGAGTCGGCAACACCAGATTCTGTTCCATGGCGGTTACCGGGCTCAGCCCGGGACACCAATACGACTTCCGAGTTTGCGCCGAAAATATTTACGGAAGATCGGATCCGAGCGAGGTGACGCCATTGATCACGACCAAGGGCACCGTCAAGAGAGAGTTTAAACAAAAGGAGTACAAAGTGGACGAAACCGGCAAAAAGATTCGTGGACGAAGCGATGAGAAACCGCGAGATTACGATCAATTCGTATTCGACGTTTACAGTAAATATGTGCCGCAGCCTGTCGAGATCAAACACATCTCTGTCTACGATAGATACGATATTCTCGAGGAGATCGGAACTGGCGCGTTCGGTGTTGTCCATCGTTGCCGAGAGAGATCGACCGGAAATATATTCGCGGCCAAGTTTATTCCCGTGTCCCATGCGATGGAGAAGGAACTTATTAGGAAGGAAATTGATATAATGAATCAACTCCATCATCCGAAATTGATCAATCTTCACGATGCCTTCGAAGACGATGACGAGATGGTTCTGATCTTCGAATTGTAAATATCATTTTTTATTTTAAAGCGTCGTTACCTTTCTCTTCCTTTTTCTCGCTCATTTCTTTTATCTCACCGTTCGTTTTTTCAGCTTATCCGGTGGTGAACTTTTCGAGAGAATCACGGCAGAAGGTTACACCATGTCCGAGGCCGAAGTTATCAACTACATGAGACAGATTTGCGAAGGCGTGAAACATATGCACGAAAAGAACATCATACATTTAGGTGAAAGAAAAATATCCTCGTTACCCCGCATTTTTACGTTTACGTAAGTAAGAAAGTGACTCTGATGTTAAATTCCCTTTTGCAGATATCAAACCTGAGAATATCATGTGCCAAACGCGCAACAGTACCAACGTGAAATTGATCGATTTTGGTTTGGCCACGAAACTCGATCCCAACGAGGTGGTGAAAATCAGCACTGGCACGGCAGAATTTGCCGCACCAGAAATCGTCGAACGCGAACCGGTCGGTTTCTACACGGATATGTGGGCTTGCGGTGTTTTGGCCTATGTCCTGTAAGCGAATGATACCTGAGACGATCATTTTCGCGGGTTCCTTTCACTTCGATTCGTTTTAATTAAAAACGAATTTTACAGGTTGAGCGGACTTTCGCCGTTTGCCGGAGACAACGATATCGAGACGTTGAAGAACGTCAAGGCCTGCGATTGGGACTTTGACGAAGAAGCGTTCCGCGATGTGTCCGAAGAAGGCAAAGACTTCATTAGACGATTACTTATCAAGAATAAAGAGTATGTTACATTGTTAAAATGTACAATCTCTATATAGATGTTGCATATTTAGTAATGTATTTTCGCATTTAGAAAGCGTATGACTGCCCACGAATGTCTCCTTCATCCATGGTTGACGGGCGATCACAGCAATCGTACGACACCGATTGCAAGCAGTCGGTATCTAAACTTTAGAGACAGGCTACGAGCCAAGTATGAGAACTGGGATAAATATGTTCTTCCTATTGGCCGATTAGCCGAATATTCTTCACTCAGAAAATTGTTGATCGACAAATACAAGATCTACGATTCCTGCTTCGGTAAGAACAATCGTCGAAAGAGAACAATTTCTTCGTAATTTTCTTTGATCTTGAAATAAAATCACTTTTTTGTCATCAATGTTACATAGATCGACGACAAGCGGCACCTAGATTCGTTATCAAACCAACAAGTGCGTTCGCATATGAAGGACAAAGCGTCAAATTCACGTGTCGCGTGATCGCGATCGCCTCTCCGACTCTTACATGGTTCCACAACAATCAAGAACTCCGCCAATCCGTGAAATTCATGAAACGATATCACGGTGATGATTATACGTTCATTATTAACAGGGTGAAACTAGAGGACAGAGGAGAATACGTGATCAGAGCGGAGAATCATTATGGCTATAGAGAGGAAGTCGTTTTCCTGAATGTGCAACGTAAGCATTTGAAAAGCCTTGTTCGTTGTCGTACAAGTGATAGATCGAAAATTATTTTTCTTGATTATTTTTATAGCTCTACCTAAAGAGATTCCAAAGTATAGGCCAGAACTTCATCCAGTTCGAAGAAGAGAGCCACTTGGTTACAACGTTTGGTTAGAAACTATTGAATCGGCACCCAACTTTACTTTCCTTCTTCGACCACGTGTTATTCAAGTCAGGCAAACGTGCAAACTTCTTTGCTGTCTCAGTGGTAATCCACCACCAACAGTCAAATGGTACAAAGATAGAGAAGAACTGTCGAAATATCATTATCCGATGACGCACGCGGACGGTGTTGTCACGATGGAAATAATTGACTGTAAACCGGAAGATAGCGGTAAATATCGTTGCGTCGCGACCAACATTCATGGAAAGGATGAAACTAGCTGCGTAGTCATTGTTGAAGGTAATTCAGAAGAGATTCAATTTTTCATAAGCGTTGTATCAAATATGTATAATATATATTGTTATTTTATTTTTCTTTCTCTTTTTTCCTTTTACTTTTATACACTTATTACAATAAAATATTCATTTGTAAAAAATTTTTTCGCAGGCACTGGAGAAACTGAGGAGCAAGTTAAATTAGCGCACGATCTCCTACATTCCGGAGGTAAAAAGTGTAATCCTTATTATTTTTAATTTTTCTTATATTCAATTCAATTTAAAATTAATCTTGTTAATTTCTTTGTCTGATGATAATCCATTTGTAATTATCAAAAAAAGGAAAAAAAAATTTATATTTTTTCATCTTAGATCGAAAATTCATCGAGCAACCGTTGAAACCGGCACCACCACCGATCGTGACGGTACATAAAGCTGGTGGATATAGTGGATACAGTTCTACAACCACTCAGGGTTACAACTACAGTAGTTCTTCCGCTAAGAACACTTCCACGAGTTCTTATAAAGTAAGTTTAAAGAAAAAAAGTATTATTGTATTATTCCTTAAAAAAAAGGCAAGAAAGATAAATATTTGATGCATATAATTTTTTTAGGCTACAGAGTCCAGTACAGAAAAACGAAGTGTCAAGAAGTATGGACTTGATAGTACCGGCAGTCCATCTCGTTCTAGAAGTACGACGAAAGAATTAATCTGTAAGTAAAATATCTTATATTTTTCGAAATAATTATATCGAATAAACAATCTGATAATTTGTTTGTTTTTTTTTTTTTTTTTTTTTTTTTTTTTAAGTATCCTCCGGATGAATCTATGAGAGCACCAAAATTCACAAAGAAATTGAACGATCTCACTATCAATGATGGCGAACAATTAGAACTTAGCGTAAATGTTGACGGTGATCCAGAACCACAAGTAACTTGGTCCAAGAATGGCAAGGCAAGTATATGATATATTGAAATCGAAATGTAATTTAAAATTAATAAGCATTTTCCATTAGACGCTGAGTTCGTCAGGAATCATGAGCTTAAAATATAAAGGCGGTGTCGCGACTCTCGTTATTAACGAAGTATTCCCCGAAGATGAGGGCGAATATGCTTGTCAAGCAAGCAATAGCATTGGTACCGTAACTACCTCGTGCAAATTAACGGTAAAACGTAAGTAAAAAATCATTCTGCTAATATGTAAGATAATAAGAGAAGAATATTTGTATAAATGTGTGCATTTTAGCTATGACGAGTGGATCTTCAAAGAAAAAGACCGATGACAAACCTCCCAAGATCGTAGACCATGTGAGCAGTATGTTCGTAAAGGATGGTGAACCTGTAACTTTGAGTTGTAGAATAATCGGTGCAAAAAAATTCGACGTAGTCTGGTTGCATAACAATAAGGAAATCAAACCTAGCAAAGACTTCCAGTACAGCAACGAAGCTAATATTTATAAATTGAACATTGCCGAAATCTTCCCCGAAGACTCTGGTACTTATACCTGTGAGGCATTCAATGATGCAGGAGAAAGCTTCTCATCGTGCACATTAAATGTTCTTGGTATGTTATTTGATCATTAATCGAATGGTTTATTTTACTTGTTTATATTACTAATAAAACAAATGTCTTCTTATTTTGCAATTTTGTTTATAGTTCCAAACGAGGAACCGAAAAGTCCAGTCTTCGCGACATTCCCACAATCTGCAACGGTAAGCGAAGGCGAATCAGTTACATTCGTATGCAAGACTGAAACCGCGCCTTTGAAAGGTAAGTAAAAAAATTTTTTTCTATTGTAAAAATTTAGTGTACAAGACGTTGATAATTTTTTTTTTTTTTTATAAGTAAATATTAAATATTATTATATTTGTAATGTTACAGTAACGTGGTTGAAAGATGGAAAAGCGCTCCCAGAATCTAGCAGCAGATACTTGTTCAGTTCAGATGGTGACAAATCGTTTGAGTTGCGTATTAAATCATGTACAGCTAGTGATGTGGGTCAGTATGTTGCTCGTGCGATTGGTAAAAAGGGTGAGACCAATGCTGCTTTCGCCCTGAATGTTACCAGTGCTAATGAATAATGAAATCGTTGATTTCACACATGACAAGTCACGATGCAATAAGGTTTGACGAAAATTTCTATTTCTCCTTTTTATATCCATATCATTTCTTATATAAAGTAGCATATCGATATTAGTTTCAACATTTATTCTTTTAATACATTTTCTTTCAGTTTCTAAAATATTATCAGGAGGGCAATAATAAGAAAAAAAATGTAAAAATGAATTGTATAAATGTGCAACTTGAAAATAATTGCGGTTATAAGCAACATAATGCTCGTGTATAAAAGAAAAATTGGAAAATTACTGTATTCATGCTATTCTATATGTAAATTATCATGGAACGCTATATTTACTTTTTGTGTGCTTATCATATCGCAAAACAAAAAAAAACAAATGATATTATATGATGAAAAACAAATCCAAAGCGTTAAGAAATACGGATAGCACGCGCAATCTATACGCTAATACGAGCTTTGCTGTATACACGAATTAGCATATTTTAAATACACAATCGTACATAAACGGCAGTATAATATACAAAATTTTCGTTATAATCAAATAGCAAGATAACCAGCATCCTCGTACATTGTGGAAAACAACAACACTTTATCTTGCTAGATGATTATACGATAGAATTTAACACTGTCGAGATGTACGTCCTTATTCCATGTAATCGTACGCACTGTCGTGTTATACATGTTTGAAGACTGCTTCCGTTACAAAATTTCAGATAAATAAAAAATAATTCAAATATAAAACTTGATTTGATTTTTTTTATTTTCCTTTTATCATTAGTATACTATAATTCATAAAATTATAATTGAACATCATATTCAAGTACAAAAAATTCTTATTAAACAGTGTCGTATAAAGTATGGGGATCTATGATATTAAAACAGTTCATCATGGGAGAAATAGAATCTTCGAGGCCCATTTTTATCTCTGTGTGCAAAAATTGATTATTGTCTTCAGAAACATTTAATATCATTATACCAGTTAGATCAATCTCTACGTATCTTAACTCGCACCAACGATCTTTGTATATGACAAAACTTAATAAAGTATGATCAACGCGTCCTTTTAAACATTCTTCTTTTTTACAAATAGAATTTCTTCTCGTAATATCGATTCTTAGAAGAATCGCCACATCTAAATTATTATTTTACGAAAATTTTGTTAAAAGTTTTCATAAAAATAGACAAGTATTACAAGTTTATATTTAAATATATTTTTCCATATTTACCGATCAAAAATAACGTTGAATCATATGTAAGAAGTGCATTTACTCTTTGCAAATTAGGATTATTGTACAAACCCTTAACGATACGCCAATAATTATTTTCAGGATAATAAATATAGAGTGTTGATTTTAAAAAAAATAATCTTCCATTTAAAACACAATGAGGAGGAACCTCTGTAAAACATTCAGGGACATATGCGCCTTCTTTCCATTCACCTGAAATTGTTTGTGCATTATAATCAAAATTTTTATAAATATTTCTTTCAATTCGATTTTTAACCTGTGTGAATATCAAGAATATCAACTGAACGTAACTTCACCCTATGCTTTCCCACACCACCTACTATAATCAATTTGTTGCTTATAAATACAGCAATCATATGTCTCCTTGGATTTGGCAATTCTGCTTGATAATACCATTTTTTAGATAAAAGGCAATAACGTGAAATAATTTCGTTAAATTGTCCACCTTCTAAACCTACTTCTCCACCAATTGTATATACACTGAAACCTAAAGCAATATTTCTGATGATTATAAATTTTTTTCTTTAATAATCTGTAGGACTCATTAGTAAACATTAAACACACCTCTACTAATAACTTGCATTCCATTTATCCATTTCTCTGGATATTGAATACTTTTTAATTGTATGGATTTACATAAAATATTATTGTCCCAAATATACAAATTTGCAATTTTGTTATCATTGTTATCATCTCTCTCACAAACAACTGTACCCTTTATAAACTTGTATTCCCTTTCTTCTTTAATATCTATGGTATCAGATATCTGTAGTTAAAATATTTCAAATTTTATATATTATAAAAGTTACATATATATCTAAGTAAATATGAAAAAATATTATTTACCGTGTGATGTTTCATCCATTTGTTTCGTACAAAATACAAATAATTTTTACTAGATCTCACATTAATATTTCGTATTAACTGACTAATATTATCTGTAGTTAATTCAATAAGCATAGATAAAGGAAGCTCCTTGAAACGGTCTAAACAAACAGACAGACAAATGTCTCGTAATGGTTTTATGTTCAACTCTTGTGCTAATAACCATATATCAATTACTTTCTCTGGTAATAACCAACATAAAACTATAATTTCTATAATATCATTTATTAATTCATCAACGATAAATAATACACTCAACTGTAATAAATTCAATAATTCTATAAAATTATTTTGTAAAAACTTTGTCATAGACACTTTTATGGAATGATAATAAATATCTACACGTTGCTCATTATGGATCCATTCGACAAAATTCTAAAAATATAAAAATTACATAATTACCATAATAATATAAAAAAATTTTTCTACTTATCTAATATAAATATCTAATATAAATCATAAAAATAACCTGTAAAGTATATAAAGCAATGTCATAATTAATAACATGTTCCTTGTTATGAGAATCATTAAAATTATGAGAGAAAAGAGATGCAAAATAGCAACTCTTACTTGCAAGTTTTTCTTTGTTCACTTCTAAACGATTTTCTTTAAGAATCAAAGTCAAATATTCCTCCATGACTAATCATTCTTTGTCAATTATAACTATAACTGTAAGTCACTCCAAATTCAAAATTCAAATGCAAAAAAAGACAATGACAAAATACAAATAAATCATATATTCAATATATTTTTTGTCTGATGTCTCTATCTAAATCTTATTATCACTTTAATATCATTCTCAGTATTACCGATTCGGCTTAGAGTTACAAAACATTGAAATCATTATTATTTAATTATTTAATAGCTGGAATTAAAATTAAATTTCAATATAAAGTATAAATAAGAACAGAATAAATATTCTATTACAGAATATTTTATAAACGTATGTGAAATACATTTTACATGTAATTATTATTTATATAAACAATTTATATAAATATTTGAAAAAATATTAAAAAAAAAAATTTTTTTTTACGAAGTTATCATTCTAAAAAAAATATATCATAAAGTTAAAAATGTAATATTTATATTTTTTATATTAAAGATTAAAACACATTGTCATTGCCCAAAAAAACAACTAAAAAACAAAATAGTGGGAGAAGGATAAAAATAGGTTAAATGATTCCTTAATTTTTAATCAATTTCTATTCTTTTTTCGCTATTTTTTTTTTTTTTTATACTTGTTCTACTTTTTTTCCGTTCTAGAAAGTCATATATAGGTTTATTAATACTTAACTACCTACAGTAATTAAAGAATCTATAAATTCATCTAATATACATATATTTATGAAAATACGTTTAAGAAATTATTTTTAAAATTTGCGCAATCGCAGAGTTTCTTTCGAAATTAGATTTCTGTTGTATTTCATTTGTAGTATATACAATATAGTATTTCATTTGTAGTATATATGTAATATATATGATGGAATTGAAAATAAATCTTTCAAGATATCGTAGAACAGGAAGGACATATTATATATGTCCTAATTTAAAATATAACGTAATAATGTAATAATAAATAAACAGATATTGAAACTCATTTCAATAATACTTATTTTATATATATATATATGTATACTATTTTATGAAATATTTTAACATAAAAGAAACTCCATTTAATATTTGTAATATTTGAAATTAATTTATTTATAATAATTAAACAAAATTGAAAGAATTAGTAAATTATTATAAGATATATAATACAATAAAAAGAGGATGGACTCAATGTTCATTGTATAAATTTATATTTTTTTCCTTTATTATTATTTAGTCTATTTTTTAATGTTTTGATTATAATTATAATTATAATTTTAAACTCTGGTATTGTAACATATGTCAAATAATGAATATTGATAATTACTTACATATTAAATAAATAGATAAACTTAATTATATACCTAAAGTATATTATAAAAATATGGTGATGTTAGATCTATCTTATATATCGTTTATGACTATAATATTTCTGAAATCGTTGAATGTTGAATCACAGTGCAGACAACCTTTTTGTGTTCAACGTAGTACATGAACGACGCTTCGCATCATTGCAATGTAAAGATTATGGAATATTAAATTTAAAATCAATTCAGCTTCTTAAACGATATGAAATGTCGTGTAATTAATATTAATTTATAAATTATGTTAATATTTATGTATTTTATTTTCCACATCTCTGTAATTTAGAAACATAATGGATCAAGAACTTATTGAAAAATTTATAGAAGTGACGGGTAAGTAACATATTATTTTAATAATATATGAAAAATTACACAAATACATTTTACATAAATGTTTGTTGGCTGAAAAATTTACAAATAACATATTTATTATATTAGTCTATATTTAAATATTGTTGATAAATTATTTTATATTAATTATTAGGAGAAAATGAGGCAACAGCTCGTCAATATTTATCATTAGCTGATGGAAATGTAGAAACTGCAATAAGTTTAATGTTTGATGGTAGTCAAGCACCTGAACCATTATGTACACCTGATCCAGAACCAGAAGTGAGACCTCCTATTTTACCAATGCAGGAAGTATTAGTGCCATCTGGTCCAATATGTTCTCTTCCAAGATTGTCCACTAATGTATTTGACAGATTCAGAGATTTTGCTGTAGAGACTCGTGAATATCATTTTATTTATTATCATTTTATATATTAAAATATTTTATCAATAAATAATGTATAATATTATTATTGAATATAATTATATAATAATTATATAGAACGACAAGAAGAAGAAATGGCCCGAAAAGTAGCTGGAGTTAAACAAATATCTTATTGCAAATCAAAAAGATTGGAAGATTTATTTCGTCCACCATGTGATATTCTCTTTCTGGGTTCTTTTATGGAAGCCCGTGAACATGCCAAATCATTAAATCGTTGGTTACTTGTAAATATTCAAAATCCTCAAGAATTTTCTTGTCAAATCCTTAATAGAGATGTATGGTCCAATCAACAAATTCAAGAAATCGTAAAGGATCATTTTGTTTTGTGGCAAGTAAGTTACCTTGAAACATTTATATTTAAATTTTATTAAAATATTTAGAATATATTTATAAATATATATATATATACAATATTATATTTCTCTAAATAGGTTTTGTCAAATACAAGTGATGGAAGTCGCTATGTACATTTATATGATGTATACGAATATCCTTATTTAGCAGTAATAGATCCTAGGACAGGAGAATGTATGAAAACTTACAATCATATTACTGTAGATATTTTAATATCTGCTTTAAATGATATGTTGAGCTCTCATCCATCACCGGAATGTGTATCAAGTGATTCAGTTCATTCTAAAGAATGGAATAATTGCACTGCCACAACAACAAAAGAATGTTCTTCATCTAATTCATCAGTATGTATAGAAAAGAAAATTTAAATTTACTAAATTAAAATCTTTTGGTTTTTATTTATTTTTAAAATTATTACATAAATAATTATTTTTATTTATAGGATTGTAGTAATAGTACTATTAAGGCATTTAAACATACAATTGATAACTTAAATGACACAGGTAAATATATACTTATAAATATTTAAAATGTTTAATATCTTTTATTTATATTATTAGATTATTATACATAATATGAGATTATTATATTATATAGGTATTAAGAATGATTTAACATCTATTCAAAGTTCAAGTACAAATATATCTCTTGATACATTTGAAAATATAAGTAAAAAAAGGAAAATGAATGAATCAGATGAAGTAAATCAGGAAACAAGTTCAAAGGTATATTAAAGTATGCATATAATTTAATATATATAATTAATTAAGATTAATATACATTTATATATCGTTATAGGATGAACAATCGTATAAATTGAAATCCGATTTTAACGAAATTAAAAGCGGTAAAAAATTATTAATTTAATTTATATTAAACTTTATTATAAATGATATTTTTAGATTAATAAAAAATATATTTTTCTTATAGACAATGAATCTGTTATAAGACTTTGTTTAAGACTGCCAAATGGTAAGAAAGAAACAGTGTCAATGTCCTCCACTGATACAATAGAAGTAATTATAAAATTTTTTGTTAACAATGTACTTAAAAGCCGTAAATTATAATACATGTTAACCTTTTTTTTTCTTAATAGAAATTCATAAATACAATGGAAGATATGGGTTATACATCAACCAATCATACTTATTTAGTACCATTTCCGAAAACAAATATTGGAGCGCTTCCACCACAAACATATTTATCAGATACGATTTTATTTCCAGCAAATACAGTATTTATAACAAAGATATAGTGATTTATTAGGTAAGTGCGTTTGTGTATGTTTCAAAAAATTAAATGATATTTAAATAAAAAAATATGTTATGCTCTATTGCAGATGATACATTATAGCGCGAATATCTCTTTTTATCGTATTACATTAGGGAGAAAATATATTATAAGTTCGATAAATATTATGAATCTTAAAGTATTTAGAAATGCATAAATATTCAATTCATTTGTGTATAATTCCAAAATCATTATATTTGTCAATATTCAATAATTCTTAAAATATTTTACATAAAATGAATGAATTATAAAAATTCGATTGACTTTTATATAATAAAAACGAAATTATACTATTCATTTTTAAAAACAATTACAAAATAAGTTTCTATACTTTCATATCGATATAATTATAAGTTTTCAGTTTAAGAAAGACTGAAATAAATAAGTTTTATTTATATATTTCAATGGAAAAATTATATTGGATAATATTAAATTTTTTATCTTACATATATTGTAAGATTTGTACAAATTACATAAAATTATTTATTTATATTATTTTATATTACATGTATATGTTCAGTACAATATATGTCAGTTATATTCATATGACTTACAAATAGACAACCTATTTTTAGGATAATTTACATAGTTCATATTTGTTGCAGCTATACTTAAATATAATTATTATTTTATAATATAGATATTAATAGTAAGAAAGAATTTTTGTGTGAGTAAATTCAAAATGTAGTTCTGTTCTTTGCAACTATGTAAAATTTTTTATATATATAATTCTCACCTAATTATCCACAAACATTTTTCTGTGACTTTAGCAGCATCCGACTGTTAATGACACATATTCACTGCCAAACGTTGTTACAATTTGTTGTATGAAGCTGATTATTAGTGAAGCGATTGATTACAGGTTTTTTGTGTGCGCAAGGTTATACCACTCGTATGTTCTGCGTAATGAAATAAGAAATAATAATGCAAAATTTAATGTAACAATAAATAGTTAATAGAAATCTTAAAAATATTCATGATTTAACCTTTTTCTTTATGTATGTTATATATAATTATAATATATAATATTCAAGAATAAATATATTTAATACAAATATATTATGTACATAATTAAATAGATTAAATAAATGATACATGATTTGAAAAATTTTTTATGTAAAATTATTATATAGATTTAACAGTAAAAAATATGAAATCATTATTATAAAATCACAGATTTTATATATTCCTACAATTATTGACATTAATTGGTTTTTAAATTTTAACTTATCAATTTATACATAAAATGTAATAAAATGAGTATATATAAGGAATTATATTACATATGAACTATGCTATCATAATACAATTATAAAAATAACTGAATTGTAATCAGAAATTGTAACATTATATATTAATTTTTCTATTCTTAACTAATTCTAAGATTAACAATGGACATCTTGTCATAAATAAGTGTATATATATATATATATATATATCTCTATAATCTTGAAAGAACACACAAAAGTATACCTTTCATTAACAATTGAATCAATACCAATTTATGTAAAGAATTCTTCTTTCATACCAAAATAATTTAAGATAACTCCCATTGGCGTACGTTTCAATCCCATACCCTCTATTTTGTTAGCAAGTTTGTTCTTCACGTTTCTTAATCTCAAAGATGCATGTATAAAAATCACTAAAAAATTAACATTAAATCTTTACATTAATACAAATTAATTATAGTTTTATATTATTATAATAAAATCATTATATAATTTTCTTTTCTATCATGTTATACTTTATATAAAAAAAAACTTACCACAAAATGACAATAAAATACCAAATAATACAAAAAGAACTGAATTTATGGTATAAATAACAAAAGATCCACAAATAATAGTAAGAATTACTCCAACTTGAGGATATGTTCGTTTAAATTTAAGCAATGATTCTTTTTCACTAAATAAATAAATACATTCACCCCATATTGCCATTGCTGCTGTTATACCAACAATCATTTTCACTGGATGCACTGATCTAAATGATTAAAAAAATACAATATCATAAAAATTTATAACCTTTATCAAAACAAATTTTAATCATTTTACTTACGCTATAACTAGTATAATAGCAATACACATATAAAGATAATTGGTTTGATAATATACAAGATTATTTGCTACTCTATTACCCCATTTTTCTAAATCTCTAAAATTAGGGAGTTGAAAACGTGAGGATTCCAAAAGAAAATCATATAAACTACGAAGAGGTGGTAATTCCCATCCATCGGCTATCGATATTGTTTTATCCATTATAATAATTGCAATACACACAATTCTAAATTGAATTAAATAACTTAATTTTTTAAAATACACATCAATCGATTTTTACACGACAAGTCTTTTGATATTTTTGGATGATGACGAAGACGGACGTCATGCAAAGTTTATGAAATCAACGTATCGTTCTTTAAAAATAATTAATTAGATTAATCGTAATTTTCACATTCTTTAAAAAAAGAAATGATATTTAATTTTTATCTTTTCTTCTCAGTAAACAAATATATACATCATGCATATAAATTGCATTAAAATTAATTTAAAAATGTTAATTTCTTAATATATTTACTTCTCTTCTGATACATGATAAACATCGATGAACAATGTAAGTAAAAGTCACGTCATTTTTTATTTCGAGAAAGTTGTACAGCGCGTATTTTAAAATTTTTCCAGATAATCCATGAATAATGAATTTTTGTTAATTAATTAAATAATTGTTCAGATTTAATTAATTGAATTAATTATTTATATATAGAAATCGATTAAAATATAGTATGATTATCATTTTAAATGTAAAATTAAACTCTAATTCTTTTATATTATACATAAAATTTTATTGTTGTTCATTTGAAATATATAATTTTTTAATTCCTATTGATAACATTTTTTTAATTTTTGATCAATTAATTTTTCATATATCAACAATATATTTATTAATTTTATATATATTATATAATATTTATCAAAAACTTTTATCATAAATAAAATAAATCGTTAATATTAAATACGAACAGCAACAATTAAAAAAATGTATCAAATATTTTGTTTTGATAATATTACACGTATCAACTCATTATCATACATATTAATAGATTCGGATAATATTGATATTGTTATTAATTTAATGACAAACTTCTTTCAAAAATAAATCTGATAAAATTTTTGCTATATTTCGACTTTTGTCTCTAAAATCATTACAAAATGCAATAATATTTTCTTTAAAGAGAATTCGATTGAACGTTATACTAAAACTTACATTAACTTTACACAACTTCTTATAGTTACAAAGTAGATATATAAATTATACTTCCATTTTTTTTATCGAGCTTTACTTTTTCATATAATTTACATATATATATATATATATATATATATATATATATATATATATGTGTGTGTGTGTGT